CCATAGATAAAAATATTCTTAGTGCAACGTCTAAGTTTGGAAAACTAGATGTTATTTTTTTTTCTCTTATAAATTGTAACATGTCCCTTGGACTGATATTATCTGAAAATATTTCTCCAAGAAAATATTTAAATCGAATACACTCGTCTCCTAAACTTAGGTCTAAATCGTTTGGATAGTGCTCCTGAAGAATATTTGCTTTTATTTTAATATCATTATCTGAATAACTACCTAAATATAAAAACCCAAACATGTCTGAAATATCAACGTAAGCACTTTGACGTCTCTTTAATTCTTCAGCAATGTTATCTATAATTACATAAAAAGTATTTACAAGCATATTATTTCGACCACTGAATTCAACTTCACCCTCTTTATTTTCACCAAAGTGCATTTTTCTACCTTTTTTTCGTCTATTGTCGAATTTATACGTTAAACTGTTTGTAAGAGCTTTGCCACATTCTTCATAATACGAAAAACGTTCGCGTTGTTGTGCGATAAATCCAACTAGCGATGTGTATAAATTTACTGCTAATGAAACATCGACATCTCTGGCCTGTAAAGATTTACTAACTTTATCAAACTCCGTTAAAATATCAGTCCATAGTTGTAATAAAATTCCCATTTCCAATTCTTCGAAACGACTTTTAAGTCCATTTGCTTCTGCTCTACTTTTATTTGGTTGTGTAACATCATTTGCAATAAGTATTAAAGCGTTTTTAAATGCAGAGAAGCCTAAAGTAATTGCTTTACAAGAATCCGCACGAGCAGACCATCGAGTAACGGATAACTTTTTAGGAACGCGCGCATTGGAAACGTTACTTAATTCTCTTATCATTATTTGCCACCTATGCGTGGATGCTGAGAAAAAGTTATATACTTCTTCTACAAACATAAAAAAGGAAGTGGCCATATTGCAACATTCAGCTGCACAAGTTCCTACTAAATTAAGTGAATGTGCTGCACAGGGGATAAATAATGCTAGAGAATTTCTTTTTTTTAATAAGAGCCTGCAAACCTGAATATTGACCAGACATGTTACTAGCATTGTCATATGACTGCCCTCTACAATCTTGAAGATCTAATTTTAGTTCGGTTAAAATTTTTAAAACTGCAGTTTCCATGTCAACTGCCTTATGGCCTATATTACTTATAAATGTAATAAAACGCTCAGTAGGAGAGCCGTCACATAACACATATCTAAGAATAAAAGTAAGCTGGTCCGAGTGACTCACATCAGGTGTTGAATCGACGCAAATGGAAAAATATTTCGCTGTTTTGGCTTCGAAGCTAATAAAATCACGAATATGTCGAGCGATAACGTGAATAAACTCGTTACAAATAGTAGATGACAAATATGAAACATTTCCACGTCCTGGATTTCCAAACTTTTGTATGTGATTATCCAGGAATGGATCAAACTGGGCTATTAACTCTAAAAGGCCTAAATAATTGCCGTTGTCATTTTTCCCGAACTTCTCTGTTGTACCCCTAAACGCTAAACCACGGCTTGCTAAAAATTTTATTGTGGACAATACTCGACGAAGAATTTCAATCCAGTATTTCTTTTCATCTAAAAATTGTCTGTGAATTCCTGTATCGATTTTGCCCAAAGAATTAGACCGAGTTACGAACGTTTTGGTGTTATTTAAATGTTCTTCTGAAGATTCGTGCATTTCAATTCTATTTACATTTTTTTAATCGTTAAATCCTTTAACAAAAGATTTTGTACGATCTTCATTAAATAACATACACGGTAAACAAAAAACACACTTTTTCGAAACAGAATATAGGAGCCACTCTCGTCGAACCTTTTCACCATTTCGAAGTTTCGAGAAAAATATTTTTTTTGATGCGTAGCGTGATTGTGATCCGTCATATACCCTTTTTGAGCTTTCAAAGTCAAAACTGTTTAAATTTTGCACAATCGGATCTGTTATTATTATGTCAATCGTCTTCGAGTTAATTGTTATTTGTGCTGGATCGCTTGATCTTGATATAAGAGTATCTGAATCTGTTATTACTTCTGCGACTTCTGCGAGATCGCCTGTATCCCAATTATTCCCCACTGGATCCAGGCTGGCCTCATCTTTATTGGGTTCCTTTTCGGTGGATGACACTGGTGACAGATCTATAAAACAAAAATAAATACTTTATACCTCTGTATTTACTTCTGTTTTAAAATTATACAAACTGTTTCAAAAACATGCGTCATTGCATAGAGGAATTATTTACGCAACGTTCACAAAAACTTCCAACAAATAGGGGGTTCGTTCAGAGTACGTAAAAATAACCCAAGAAGTATAAATGTACCTAGTACCTACCTACCTTATGTACAGTGGAACATCGATAACTCGGATTAATCGGGACCGAGGCCGATCCGGGTTGTCGAAAATCCGGGTTAGCCGGAAAAAATGGTAAAAATTAATAAAATACGGTATACTTACAGATAAACTCCGTTATAATTGAAAAAACATGAAACTAATAACACTAACTTACAAATAGTTGTATAGAGTATTGTTCATTTCTTGATAATCCAAAATCAGTCATTTCGGTTGCGTCAATTTCGTTGAAAAGATTTTTCAAACAATGCTTTAACAGTTTAAAACTACAGGGTGCCTGTTATTCCGATAACCCGAACAATAAAGCCATTTCTATTGTCATGAAGTCTGAACCCGTTGTGTGCCATGATGACTCATTTTTACTATTGTACATCAACGGTTCCAATGCGGCATGTCACCCCATGCTAACAAAACAAACTATTTATTTCCCGGTAACTGCGCTAAGCGGAAGTTACAGGAACAAGAAACCTTTTTCGATTTAAATGACCATTGACCATACGGTTAAAAACATGATATTCGAAGACCTTGCAATTTTATTTCAGATAAGGGATTCTGTATACAAAAATTTTTATTGTTTATCTGATAAAAATCGGTCCGGGTTAGCCGGACTTCCAGGTTATCGGGGGCCGACTTATCGGGGTTCCACTGTATTTATATCTAATTACACAAATATATGATGTGATGCGATGCGATTCTATTTTTAATAATTTTCTCTTCAGTCTTCAACTTTATAATTTATAATATGCTGTGTGTTATGTTTTTTGAAACACCTTGTAGGTAAATCGACTATCCCTATGTATGTATGTAAAAACAACCATAAAAGTTCTTAGGTGCGAGTTAGTGAGATTTTTAATTAAGAGTAATAGGTAATTATTATTTCAATAATTTTTGTGGTTGCCATTTTTTCCAAAATTGCATAATTATTGGATACTTACTATAATAATAATTATTAAAACAATTATTGTCAAAAACAAATTTCTAATAAATAATTAATTGAACATTCAAATACATACCTTCTGCATTATTTGAGGAAGTTCCTGGTAAATTAATATTTTCGGGTAAATGAATAAAATCAGACCTCTCCATCTCGGTTTGCGATGTCGATGGTCCTGCTTCTTCAACATTTTGTTTTTTAAAAAAATTATACAATTTTGGTACATTTTCTAAAGCTTCGGCTCGCTTTAGGACTTTTTCTCTGGCAATTTTCCGCTTTTTTGCGCCGCTTAGCGAATAACTCATTTTATACAGTACAAGTAGTCAAGTAATAAGTCAAAAAAAACTCTACCTATCTAGGTAATAGCTTCACACACAATACTTCACTTCACATAGGATAACTCCACAGATTCAGAAAAAATAATTAACACCACTCTAACTCTAGGCCTCTAGGTATAGGCAATCGTAATTCGTAATCGTAACCGACCAATCGGTATATTAACTGCAATTTAATACACCATACACGATACACGCATACACCTTTAATTTTTTTGCTTTTCAAGACAATGCAAGTTAGCGTCTATCTAAAAGGACCATCTATAAAACAGTAAAACAAAAATAAGGAAAACCATGGCAGGCACCAGCTTAAATATATTTCCAGCTCTGGGTCTGGAGGGGGGAGGCCGCCGCTATCAAAGACAAAGGCAAGGCGGCCGCCGCTATCAAAGACAAAGGCGGCCGCCGCGCCGCGCCGTTGTAAAGACAAAGGCGGCCGCCCCTATCAGAAGCGAAGGCGGCCGGCCGGGTCAAAGGTAAAGGCGGCCACGGTGTATTTCGTCGAACGCCGCGCGATATCCGTTTTACCAAAGTCTACTAAATGTAGACTTTGGTTTTACATGCTTGCTATTTACTGAAATAAAAAATAAGTTAGACCAAAAAATGCAGAAAAGAAGATGGGATATTTAGGAATTCTCTTCTTTTTGGTAATTTTAATAAGCATAAGCACTGAGGATTTTTTCGTAACTTTATGTTAAGACAAGTTTTTAAAAGGGCCCCCCAGAAGCTCTGGGCCCTGGGCTATAGCCTACATAGCCTAATGGATAATCCGGCGGTGGATTTACATCAAAACGACTCTCACCTTTAAAGACTCACGTAGCTGAGAATCCTGTGCATATCACAAAGGTTAATTCAATTTGTGTGGAATGTAATTTAGTCACTAATTCATACGTCAATGAAAATCAAGGTCATATTATCCACATGTTTTATCCAAATGTTTTACCAGGTTACAAAATTGTTGAAATTCCAAAAAAAAGTAATTTATTTACCTGTCACAAATAGATATATTGATGAAATTTTCATTAAAATAGTCAACCAGGACGGTAATCTTGTCAATTTCACACGAGAAGTTATTCCGTTAAGACTACATTTAAAAAAAGTATAAATAATGGTTGTTATATACAACTGTAGCAAATTTATTCCAAGTGTGGACAGTGTATATAATATTAAAAGTTTTGATAAAAACATTAGTGATAAGCAGACGCTCAAACCGTTAACAACAGAAAACAAAGTCTTTTTAACCTCACTAGGATTTAAAATAAGACATAACAACAACAACGACGACAGTGACAGGAAACAAGAAAAGAAATACGTGGTGTAGAATAAAGGTCTTTATTAATACTAGAATACTTGGTATTTTCTTGAGGTGTACTTGTAAGAAGAGTGAATATGAGTTTTAACATTTTAAATATTGCAGATCGTGTGTTGGTTGACAATTCAGTTGTTAGTCGAGAAATGCACAGTCATTTACCCTATGCTAATGCAACTTTTAATCACTGTGATGAAATACGATTGCCAATCCAAACTCAAGATATATCCACGCTACCTTCTGAGAGTTATTTGTATATTGAAGGACGTTTAACGAATGATGGGAAAAAAAGTAATACTTTGCACTTTGTTAATTATGGTTTGATGCATTTATTTGATGAAATACGATATGAAATTGGAGGCTGTGTAATAGATAGAGTGAGAAATATAGGTATAACAACGACAATCAAAAACTATTCTTCGTTCACACAAACTGAATCTAATCGATACAACTGTATAGGTTGGAGTATTAGTGACACACCAACTGTTGCTGATAAATCAGGAAATTTTAATGTTTGCATTCCACTCAAACTTTTGGGGTTTTCCGGATTTTTTGAAGATTTCACCAAAATTCTAATTAACATACGCCGAGAACTCGTATTGATAAGAAGTTCAACAGATTTAAATGCAGTAATGTCGACAGTAGAAACTGAAAAAACAAAAGTGGAAATATTTAAATTAATGTGGAAAATGCCTCATATTCAAGTGTCCGATTCAGAAAAATTACGTTTATATAAATTTATTGAAAATGGATCCAATTTAGAGCTTGCATATGGAAGCTGGGAATATCATGAAATTCCTCTACTGCCTCAGATAATGAAATTTAACTGGAATGTAAAAACTACCAGCCTGTTAGAGAGACCACGATTTGTTTTGTTTGTTGATCTGTTGGTGATCCATGTCTAACTATGTTACAATACTGTGCTATTGCTCCTATATTTGTTATTGATTGCAGCAGACAAAATGAATCAATTAAATCAGGAAGTGTTAATATGAGAATAGAAATAGAAACTACAAAGAATATACCAGCTAACACAACTGCGTATTGTATAATTATACATGACCGTATTGTTAATTATAATCCTCTAACCAATGTAGTTCAAATGTTTTAACTGTAGTTCATCTAATGAAGTAAATCTGTATTGTGGGTTTTAGTTTAAATAAAAAGTTAAAAAAAAGTTTATTCTTATTTAACGCCCTGTATACAATAAATATTTTCATATCCTTGTTGATGTTGAACATAAGTTGGGTTAGACTAGTACCAAGTCTGCTTGAAAGCTGTTCGAGACCTGTTCAAGACCTGTTCGAGACCTGTTCAAAGCTGTTCAAGACCTGTTCAAGACCTGTTCGAGACCTGTCCGAGACCTGTTCGAGACCTTATCTAAAGCTGATTGATTGTATACCTACATTTTATGATGAATAAAGATTTGAAAAGACAACTTATAACTAAACGCAGAAACATCCAAAGTAAATTAAGACAATTAAAACAAGGACAAATAATCCAAGAAGATTTATTTACTCCAATTACAAAACACTTGAAAAATATAGAGAGTAAGTTAAATAGTTCACAAAATTCTAGTCCAGAAAATGAAACAAAAAAACTATGAACCTTTAGGGTACATTAAAAAAGATGATGATGATGAAACTACTGACTTTGAAACAAGTGAAATCAAACAATCGATATTGGACAACATTGAAGTGGATGATATAAAAGAACAGATTAAAAATTATTCTGAAAATCGATTTGAAGATATTGCTAACCAAGCGCGTGCAGACTACTGGGATCAATATGATATATTACCTAGGAAATATATTACAAATATGCAAGCTGATGTTCTCAACAAAGAATTTGATGATAAATATGGAATTAGATTTGATGAAACATCTGAAAAGCTACTAATTGGGAATTCTGAAATAAATTTAGATGGTGCTAATATTATTTTAAAAAAGAAAAGGTACAGGGGAACACCAAGTTTATATTAGCTTTTGTTTAAGAAATATCCAGCTAGTTTTACAGATGAAGATGAGAATAACTATAAAAAGATAGTTGTAGCAACGAATGCCCACCGAAGACATTACAGATCAAGTAAACAGATAGATGGTAGTATGTAGAATGTTTATGAAAGTAAACAACAATAAAATACATTACGTCCACTGGGATGATCCAAACGAACTTGTAGACAGATTACGATTATTACTAGCATCACAGATAGCTGGACATACAGGACATACAAATGAAATAAATTCAATTGTTGAAGAACTAAAAGAGGCAAACAATATAGACTAAATATCATGTCTGTTAAAAGAGATATTGTTAATGAGTTACACAAACCTGCAAGAATTAACTTTAAACGACGAAGAATTATTGTAAAATCTCTGAATGATTTGTTTCAAGCCGACTTGATTGATATGCAAAAGTATTCAAATACAAACAGAAATTTCAAATATATTTTGGTTTTAATAAATTGTTTTTCAAAATTTTTATGGGCTTTACCACTAAAAAATAAATCAGGTGTTGAAGTAGCCAAATGTATGGAGTATGTGTTTAAACAACAAACACCAAATAATCTTCAAATAGATATGGGAACTGAATTTTTTAATCCACATATGAAAAAAGTGATGAAAAAATATAATGTAATGTAATGTAATTAATCATTACAATGTATACAGTGAAAAAAAGGCTGCGATTGCTAAGCGAGTTATTCGTACGATTAAATCAATGATGTGGAAACAGTTTAGTTTCAATGGTAACTACAAATGGATTTATAAATTACAACAAGTTGTCATTGAATACAATAATAAAGTTCACAGAACAATAGGAATGAAACCAGTGGATGTTAAGAAAAAGCATGAAAAACTATTGTTACACACTGTATACAATCACATTAAAATGTTTAATTTGGACAATCAAAAATTTCATATTGGTGATTATGTACGAATTTCAAAATATCGAAGAGTTTTCGACAAGAAATACAATCCAAATTGGTCTAATGAAATTTTCACTGTTTATAAAATAAAATTGGGAAACCCTATTACATACTATTTAAAAGACTATAAAGGTGAAGAAATTCTTGGAGGATTTTATAAGGAGCAGCTACAAATAGTTAAACATAAAGACAGTTATTTAGTTGAAAAGGTATTAAAGAGAAAAGGAAATAAAATTTTTGTTAAGTGGCTAGGTTTTGATAGTTCTCACAACTCATGGATAAATAAAAGTGACGCAATATAATAAAGAGGGGATAGCAAAAATGACGTTCCACCTGCAAAATTTTGTTTGTTGTTATAGAATATCGAGAGAGAAAACATGTTCATTGTGGATATCCAAGGTTTCTCTTTTCCTGGAGATGTCTTTCTTTGTAGGGAAATTGCTATTTTAGATCCTACTACAGAAAAGATTATACACAGACTGGTTGGTTTACCGGTAACAGAAGCAATGGTAAATAAATCATCTATAACATGTATCGAACAACTGATTGTGCAAAACCACGGTTTAAGTTGGCAATCTTGGCATTTTTGCGATGATCAGCTAAAATATGAAGAAATTTCAAAATTTTTACACAACATGTTAGATGAAACAATATTGGTAAAAAATCGGGAAACAAAACAATATTTGGAACGATTTATGGAAAACCCCATTGATTGTATAGAAGATGAACCGAATGTACTTTCAGATGAGACTATGAAACATATTTTTAAATCTCACTCGTGTCTTCACCATACCAATGAAGATTTACAATGTGCTCTAACCAATGTATTTAATATTCATTATTGGTATAAGTATTGTAAAAAGTGTTTACAATAAATACTAAAATCTAATAATAGTCTTTTATTAATCGATAACCACCACATTTATCTTCAAATTCATATCAACCATGAAGCTTATAAAACAAAAGACTACGCTTGATGTAGAGAATAACTTATTGGAACCAACTGAGAATAAGTTTAAAAAACATGGAGTTTTGTTCCCTTCAACTATTAGATGTATTATAGTTGGCCCTTCAAATTGTGGTAAGACAAATGTGATAAGTTTATTAGAACATGCTAATGGATTAACATTTGAAAATGTATATATTTACTCAAAATCGTTGATACAACCAAAGTACAAATATTTAGAGACATTGCTAGAACCGATTAAGGGAATAGAATATTATACTTACAGTGGAAGTACAGATATATTGCATCCATCTGAAGCGAAACCCAATTCAATTTTTATTTTTGATGATGTTGCGTGTGACAACCAAGATGTTATTCGGGAATACTTTAGCATGTCTCGACATGCTCAAGTGGATCCATTTTATTTGAGTCAAAGTTATGCAAAAATACCTAAGCATCTTATAAGAGACAATGCAAATGTTTTAATCATATTTAAACAAGACGATTTAAATTTAAAACACATTTATAATGACCATGTTGGCACTGACATGGACTTTGAAGAATTAAAAAGGATATGTTCAATATGTTGGCAAGAGAATTATGGGTTCTTATCAATTTTTAAAGATAATAATATAAAGAACGGTCGATATAGAAAAAAAATTGATCAATATTTTTTGTTAGAATAAAGTTGTAAATAAGTGTATCTAAGAAATAAATAAAGAGATAGTATTTAAAAGTATTTTATTATAATCTATATACATATCACCTTACTTTTTATTGTGTCCGTTGGCTTAAAAAATGTTCAATATTTACATCATCCACATCATATTTATCTACCTCTTGGAGAGCAACCGTTCGTTGTTTCTTGTGCTGTGGTGGTTGATTGGATGTTGATGCTATCTCCTCAATTGTTTCTTGGATGTATAGGGGCCTCTTTAAACCAATTTGTTTTTGAAGTTGCTGATGCCTCTCAAACTCTTCAAACTCATCATCCAACAGGTTGAACCTATACCTCTTGACATCTTCCAAAATTTGGAATTCCTCCTCAGACTGGATTTTAGTTAGTATATTTTACATATACTAAATTTTAATTTGTTGCTTCTACAAATTAAGTCACGTTGACTAATCACGTTTAATAATAATAACTAGTTTACATTTTGTTGAATCTTGGAAAATAAAGTCACGTTGACTAACCAGTTATAGAAATACGTCAATTGATTTTTTATCTGAATATGGATAAATATGAAGGCATCCACCTTTTTTGGTTTTATTTGAGTTTTCGTTGTGTTGTGACCGTATACCCATCAACCATGAGCCAACAAGTTGTTGATCAGATGTCCAACGAAATTGTGGAGAAAATGAAATCAGTAAGTAGATTAATTACGAGAAAATCTGATTTACAATATATATAATAAGATATTTAAAAAACAAATTTTTATATTAAATAAATGTTTAAAGAATAGGGCTGCTTGTGTTCGAAATTTTCATTGTATAGTAGCAAATTTAACCATTCTTAGAACATATCTTGAAAACTTTAAGAACAGATTAAAGGCTAGAAAAACTCTTAAAAGGACTTTATTGTGGCAGGATGTGGAATCTTGTTTTAATAGTAGAATAAAAACAGGTCTAATAATTAATTTCAGATTTAAAGAACCCAAAATATTTTTAGAAAAAGCTTTTAGGAGTTTTTTAATTCAAATTAGAAAAAGTTTGTTGTCATGTCTTTTAAAAGTTAATTTGATTTTTTATGGTGTTTTTATTAAACCACAAAATGGTGAAACCTCTATTAAACATTTTTTAACCAAAAATGAAATAATTGATCAAAATACAAACCTGAAGGATTGGTATAAAATTAATTGTATAAATGTGATTTTAAAAAAATTTGAGGAATTTCAAGAAAGAGATAGTGGTTGGGCACTATCACAGATTCTACATTTAAAACTAAATATAAATAGGTATAATCCAATACTGGGTGGTATTTCCACTTATGTTGAATTACCTAAATGGATAAAAAACGCAAGTAGTGTAATTAATGTTAAAAATTCAGATACTTATTGTTTTCTCTGGTCAATTGTTGCCGCCTTACATCCTGCTACAAAAAATGTTGACCGAACATCATCTTATCCTCATTTTAGTAAGGTATTAAAATTTCATAATATTAGTTTTCCTATGGATATAAAAGATTTAAATAAACTTTCGATAAATGTTTTTACAACAAAAGGAACAGGAAAGGAAATTTTACCTTTGATATTAAGTAACACCAGTTTTCCCCTCATATAAATTTACTTTTAATTTATTCTCATGACAATAGTACAAACAGTAGTGATGATGAAGATAATGATCTTTTGTATAGAAAAGGCCTATTTTATTTTGCTTATATTAAACATTTTTCACGATTATTAAATCAGCAAGTCAAAAATGTTCGAAACAAAAAATGGTTCTGTGAAAGATGTTTTAATCACTTTAGTAATAATATGTATTTACAAAATCATTTAGAGGACTGTATTAATTTAAATTCAGTTAAGATGGTTTTACCAACAGAACAGAATTATAATATGAAATTTAAAAATTTTAAACATAAAGAACTTGTTCCTTTTGTTATCTATGCTGATCTAGAAAGTATTCTTATAAAATGCACTGACATTGATAATGATCCTAATATAAAAACTCATTTGTCTCAAAAACATGAAGCTTTTAGTATTGCTCACTATTTTAAATCTTATGATAATTCCTTATCATACTATAAGTCATTTACAGGTCATAATTGTCAAGTGTGGTTTTTAAGAGAACTTGAAAAGATAGCCAAGAGAATAACTAGCAAAAATTTATTTCAAAAATTTAAAAAGTTGAAACCATTAACGGATAAGGAAAGACATGATTTTAGTTTTAGTTTTGTTTGTCATATTTGCACTAAACCTATAGTTGATCCATTGGATACAGTTAGAGATCATTGTCATATTACAGGGATATTTCGAGGGGCTGCTCATAGATCTTGTAATGCTAATTATCAAAATTCTCATACAATTCCTATCGTATTTCATAATCTCTCTGGTTATGACGCGCATTTTTTAATTAAAAGCCTTAAGACTCACATTAAAGGGAATATATCACTGCTTCCTTTAACCCATTAACTGCCAATTTTTCTTTTCTTGCTAATATCGATTTTTTGAATACTGATGTATAATTATTTGACAAAAATAGACTCCATTGGTATGTATTTATAAAATCTGTCATTTTTTGACGTTTTTTATCGTGGATCCCCAATTGGGGATCATGGCATATACTATGCTTAATAATAACATAAGTACAAGGTTAGTGCAAGGTATATTTTTATTACAAAATATTGACAAAAAGCAATTAGTTTGAATGCCAAGCAACTACACATTCTACATGTAAACCAACATTACATTTAGAACACTGTTTTCTTACATTCGATTTGCAGACCGCACATTTCCTTTGCTTGCCTTCGGGAGTCCTTTCAAGATAATGTCCAACTGGATCTCGTCTCACTGGTTCAGGCACACGTTTTTGAGATTTCATTTTTAAAGATGGTCTTCCAAGCTTTTTTGGGTCTGAAAGTGAATTCACCCTTAAAAGAGCTTTGGCTACAGCTCTCCTGAAATCAAGTAATGGAACACTACCATTTGCAATAGAGTAGACTGCGTGAGCATTTACTAGAGCCATATCAATAACGTTTGTAAATAAGGGGAAATACCATCGCTTTGCTCTAATTTTAATTCTATATTTTTGGATATTCCAATCTAATTTGTCTACTCCCCCCATATATTTATTGTACTTAGCTATAACATTGGGCTGAGGCAAAAGTATTTCTTTTTTTTCCGTTCGCGACCATCTAGCGACTTTGGCTATTGGCAGGACCTCTTCATGATTTGACAGGAGTTTGACACAGCTATTGTCTTTCCACACTACCGCAAATATATTGTTTGTTTGGTCAAAACGGTAATCAAAAAATCCCCGCTTCTCTTTTTTTACCTCATTGTCAGATGTCAAAGGACAACGGCCCATTCGGTTACTGCGCACTGTTCCAGAAGCGCAGACCTTCTTATCAGATAGCTCTCTCATAAGTTCATAGCTGGTAAAAAAGTTATCAAAGTAGAAACAATGCTCAGAGGGATTTTCGATAACCTCCATTTTTTTCAAGATTACAGAAGATCCTAGACTAACACTGGCAGCAGTATCGGCTTTTTTACCTTCGTATACCTCGGTATCGAAACAGAAACCTGTCTCTGAGCAGCACATCGCCCATTGTTTGAAACCAAATCGAATGGGCTTTCCCCTGATAAATTGTTTCAGGTAATGATGACCAAAATACCGCACCATTTGCTCATCAATACTCAGGTTGCTACTGAAAACTCCAAATCTCATGCATAATTTATTGAACCTGTCTATGATGGGTCTTATTTTATAGAGCTTATCATGCTCTTCCGGCTTGACAGGTATAAGTGAATTGTCATTGAAATGTATGTTTCGTTTTATTTCTAGGTAGCGATTTCTAGACATACATGTTCTTACAATTTGGACATTTAAATCTTCGTCTTCTGACCAATACATTTGTTCTTGTGGGAGAGAATGATATCCAGTCAATATGAGTATGCCTAGAAACTTTCTCAGACAATTTACAGAAAAAGTGAACTCATGCCTGTTGTTCTGGGCTGCATAAATCACACTTTGCCTAACAATATAGGTCATTAGTTCTTCATCAAAGAATAACTCAAAAACTTCGGCTGGTGATTTACCGCGAATTTCATCTTTAATTTTTTGCCGACGGATATCGCATGCCGATTGAGCTTCATTTGGATCAGCTAATACACTAAAATTGGCTTTTTCTACCTTTTTCCAGGCTGGAGGTTGACTGGTAGCAATTTTAGATCTCTTGGGCGCTTGGGCAGTTGTTTTCGATCTTACCCGTTTTGAAGTAGAACAGCTGGGCTGCGGCTGATCAGATTGGGGTATCTTTTTAACATCCGTGAGGCCGTGAAGCTCAATATCTCCTGGAAGGTCTAGGGGAACGGAATCACCTAAGACATCCTCATCTAGATCCTCAGAATCTGTCACGCAGTCTACGCGGTCTGGTGGAAGTTCAACGATGTCGATATGGGTATATTCACTTTCATCAATGTAGACATGATTTTCTGGATCATCTATGTAAGCCTCAAGCTCTTTCAAGGAGCGGAAAGGTTTGGAACTCATAATCTAAAAAAAAAGAAAAAAATATTACATGTGCCATGGTCCCCATTTGGGTATCGGAACACAAAAGGACCCTACAGCCACATTTTTATTATTTTTTGTGTGGCTGTATCTTTTTTGTATGCTTAAGACTCTAGTCTATCCACACTTTATAAACAAAAAACTCTTGTCAAAACTTATCTATCAAAAAATAATAATGAAAATATAGGTATGTAAAAAGGTCAACTTACCAGCCACAAATTTTCACAAAAAGCTAAATATTTCAATATTTACGCCACCAAAATATCGTAAACCAACAAAACCACACACGTGAATGTTCAAGGAACAAAACATAACCTAAACTAACAGAGTTTCATAATATGCGTAGTTGCCAAACGGTACAAAAAGCGAAATCCCCAAATGGGGATCATGGCAGCTAATGGGTTAAACAAACAGAGGTATATATCATTTACCAAATACATTCAAGATACAAATATTTGTTTTAGATTTATAGATTCTTTTAGATTTATGTCTGATTCATTAGATAAACTTTCCTCTAATCTAGATGATGATCAAAAACACAACGAGACAGTACTTTGACAATGAGTTTAAATTTAATCTAGTTAAAAGAAAAGGTGTTTTCCCATATGAATACCTAGATAATGGGGAAAAGTTGCAATATACCTGCTTGCCACCTATTGATAGTTTCTTTAGTACAATTAATAATGAGGGAATAACTTACGAGGACTATCAATACGCCTGTACTGTTTGGAACACATTTGAGATAAAAACATTGCAAGAGTACGCCGAATTATATTTAAAAACTGATGTATTATTTTAAGTGATATTTTTGAAAACTTTAGACTGATGTGTTTAAAAACATACGGGTTAGATAGTTTGCATTATTTTACTTTACCAGGGTTAACGTTTGATGCTATGTTAAAAGTAACAAATGTAGAATTAGAACTTTTAACAGATATTGACATGGTTTTGTTCTTTGAAAAGGCAAAACGAGGAGGAGTGTCACAATGTAGTAATAGATATGCAGAAGCCAACAAGAAATACATGGGGGATAAATATAATCCTAGTAAAAATACCTCTTATGTAATCTACATGGATGTTAACAATCTGTATGGTGCGGGTATGAGTTATTATGTTCCTTATGGAGGATTTGAATGGATACCCCTACATGAAATTTATAATTACAACATATTAAATTGTCCCAATGATAGTGAATACGGATACATGCTGGAAGTTGACATTGAGTATCCAAAAGAACTTTTTAATTCCCACAAAGATTTACCGTTGTGTCCAGAACATATAACTCCACCAACTTCTAATTCTACCATTAAAAAGCTCTTAACTACATTGTATGATAAAAAAAGTATGTTATTCACTATATAAACTTAAAATAAGTTATTAGCTTGGGACTGAAGCTTACTAAGGTTCATAGATGTTTAAAATTTAAACAATCACCTTGGTTAAAGAAATATATTGATTTAAACATTGTATTGAGAAAGGAGAGCAAAAATGAATTTGAAAAAAATTTGTTTAAACTTTTTATAAACGCCCCGTATGGCAAAAGTATAGAAAATGTCCGAAAATACATGGATATAAAGATTGTAAACAAACATGGTGGTAGATACGGTGCAAACTACTACATTTACCAACCGAATTTTCATAGTTGTACCATATTTGATGAAAATATGGTAATAATTGAAATGCAAAAACAAAAAATTAATTTTAATAAACCTATTTACATTGGAATGTGTATTTTAGATATTTCAAAAACCATTGTATACGACTTCCATTATAATTATGTTCAAAAGAAATGTCAGGTTAAAGCCAAGTTATTATACACTGACACAGATAGTTTAATATATCAGTTTTTTGTTGATGATATATATGCTCATATTAAAGAGGATATTCATAAGTTTGATACATCAGAGAACACTGAAAATAATGTCTATAACATTCCCTTACGGAATAAAAAAGTACTAGGTCTAATGAAAGATGAAAACAAAGGTCAAATCATGACACACTTTATAGAATTAAGATCAAAAATGTACACCATGAAAATTTTAAATCAGACTGAGGAAATTAAAAAGGCTAAAGGAATAACAAAATCTGCATTAAAGACACTGTCCTATGAGGATTATTACGAAAGTTTATTTAAAAAACCATTGTAGAGGTTTCCCAAAATTCTATTGTCTCTAAAAAACATGACGTTTATACAATAATACAAAGAAAAGTTGGACTTATTCCATATGATGACAAAAGAATGGTTAGTTGTTTCAACACTGACACTTTACCATGGAGCTTTAATGATAAATAATTTTTGAATATTTTTGGTAATACTTCTACATTACCTTTCTGTTTTGTACATCAGATTTTCTTTATCTGATTAATCTACAAATAAGTACTCCATTTAGAACAGTTTCCAATTACAATGGGAAAAAGTTTGTACTGGCCAAAAAAGATTTGCAGCCTTAAAATTTAAGACAGAAAAAACGATAATACCTCAAACTATACCTACCATCTTCTGGTATAACAAAATGTATGGAACAATACCATGTTTTGGGTGTAAGAGATTTTTTTGTTTTTGTAAAACATCTGTAGACATGCATACAGACATTTTACCTGACTTGGATTGTTTGGAAACCATGCCTACATTATAGCACACAGGTATTTGTAAACAAAAAAAAACCAAAATATTCCTTATTAATTATTTTTATGTTTTGATTTCAGCCTCTAGACTTGTCGATTCCTATCAACCGGGAAGCACTTTCACAAATTAAGCAGAATATAGTAACAAAAGAAGTGACAAACTATAGAAGAATGTTTAATTCCCAGATACCATTTGGACATCCCTTACATCATGAAAATTTCATGGAGGCTAGTTATATGGACTCAGTAACTCGCGACTACTATCGTAGGATAGCCAGGAGTATAAAATATAACCGTAAAGTTTACGAGTACAATAGAATCAATAAGCTATTTTTAAAATAAATTTTTAATATCACTCGAATATTGTTGTATTTACCTACTCCATTAAATATACATATTACTTTGCATTTTCTTTTCCTTTTTCATGAGTACAAATTAATCTGGCTAGGCTAGGCTGGGCTGGGCAGGCTAACAAGTCATACTTTTTCTCAACACGACCCTGTACAACTTTTGTGAAAGAAGAGGAGATCTAGAGATAAGCGATGAGTTTTGCACTCGACATACAGGGCGGAGCGTTTGTCCTCTGGTCATTGTAGCGGACGTGGGTAGGTGACACGGGACACAGAGTGACAACAGGTAGGTGACACAGGTGGGACAAAGAGGTACACAGGTAGGTGACACCGGTGGTACAAAGAGCTACACAGGTGGGTGACAAAGGTGGGACAAAGAGCTACACAGGTAGGTGACAAAGGTGGGACAAAGAGGTAGCTAAGAGACAGCAGGTAGGTAGGTGACAAAGGACCCGCAGTCTTTGGGAAAGAAGAAAAGGAGATAAGCGATGAGTTTTTACGGTCCTTTGGTCATTGTCTGCAGCTTCTTGGCTTCAGCTACCCCTTCTGGTCATTGTCGATCACTTCTTGTACTTCTTGTACACCCTCAAGGTCAAACTAGGCCATCCGTACGTTTGCATGGAGACCCTGATGGACAGGTTACCAAAGTGAGTTTGTACCCCGTCTGTTTATCTACTTATACAGGACCTAAAGGGAACTTAAAATTAATAAAATGAAAAGTAAGAATAAATGGTATTTTTATTGTGTACTTATATTAACATATGTATTTAAATTTATAGTATTATTAAGCACATTACTCCTACTTACTTTACAAATGTAGCAACATACGACAACCACAAAAATTACCTATGAAATTCCTATATACCTACTTAATGTCTATAATAATAAATTACCAAACTATAAACTAGTATCGAAAGCAATAAACTAATTCTAATTACAACCACAACCACAATGATTATAATTCGAGAAATAAACGAGATAAATAGAAGCGTCGTTAAAACATAACCACATTCTTCTTTTATCTCCTAATTTTTAAATTTCAGTTCCACTACAGAACAAAATTTTAGAGATACAGCTCTGCTATAGGATACAGATTTTTCTCTAAAAGGAGCCTCTGTCTGTTTTCGTATAAATTAATGGTATTTAAAACTAAATATAACTTTTTAAAATAAAGTTTAGTAGGAAGATTATATTTTGTAAAAAATATGCTTAAGTAAAAAATGACACAGTTAACACCTAGAAAACGTCCCTAATACATCCCTAATGGGACGTCCCTTGGACGACCTTATGGGACGTCTCTGGTATGTCCGACTAGAAATATCCCTTGGACGTCCCTCGAACGTCCAAAAGAAGTCCCGGGACGTTTGGACCTTAAAACGACATAAAATGGACGTCCCAAGGATGTCCTGTGCTGTCTGGGGACGTACGCCATCCTCCTAAGATCTATTCTGGATAATCCATGAAATTTAGCTTCCATTTCCAAAATATAACGCACTAACTCGTCCTCAAGATCATTCCCTAAGACAGCTTTCGCCCTAACTTTATGTGAGCAGCTTTAATTGGCTTTAGATCAAGTTTTTTTGCAGAACGTTGCAAAGTAGAACGTGGGACATTAAACATTTTTGCAGCTTTCGTTCTGCCTGACAGCTATAATTGCACGTTCCATATCTCTCTCGTCCCATTTTTTTTTAGCTTCTTTCAGCTGTTGTTTTGACATCCTGAAACAATTGAAGTATGTTTTACATTGTTCTAAATATGGGCCACTGGCCCATAATGAAAACAGGGGCATAGCCCATATTGTAAACACGCTTGTTTTGCACAACAGAAGAGGTTATGTATAAAAGTAGTCAATTTAAAGAAAACTTATTAGCATTATATCAAAGACTGATTATAGAGCTTCAACGTGACACAGACGTTTTTTTGAAATTAGTGTTTATTTTCAAATACTGGAATTTATCAACTTATCCGAAAAAGTTTTGACACTCACACCAACCGACAAACAATTATAAACTGGAAAATGTCTACCACTGTGGCGCCATCGCTACGGTGATAGTTTAACTTCGCCAAATACCGTTTGCAATAGTCAAAATGTAGAGATCTGCAACGAATAGCTGTGAATCCTACCTAGCCCATATTACAAGACCAGCCCATATTTGCAGCCTTTCCTCTAGTGATCTTACACAGATACATAGAAACAGATAAAGTAACTGTTTTTATAATTTTTCAAAAATTGATAAAAATATGATATTTATGACTTAATTAAAAAAATACCGCTATTGGCCATATTACCAACATGGTGTCGCTAATATGGCCACTCTACAGAAAGTAAATTTTTATATTTAATTATGAAGCTTAACACAAAATAGAATAAAATAGTTTCAGATTTTTTAACGGTTTTATTACATGTTAAGCAAATACAGTACAGAAACTTAATATTGTCTTATCTTTCACAATCAGGGAATAAGAACGTATCAATTTCCTCTAAACTAGGAATTTCAAAATATTCCCTAACAATACATTTATTAAGCTCTTGAGCGTCTAGACGCAGTGAACCATTTGGCTTCTCAACTAAAACTATATTATTAACGCATTCACATGCTTCTGTTACTTTGGATATAATATTTCTACTTTCTCATTTACCTAATTTCTCTTTCAGCTTATTTTTTATAGTAAATGGTACTCTTCTAGCTGGTCTAGCTACTGGAACACTATCATTTTTTAATTGTATTTTACAAAAACCTGTGAATGTGCCCATTCCCTCAAATACATCTTTATATTCTAGTAATAATTGTTCCTTATTAGTAAGTTCCTATCAACATTTACACTCTGTGTTTCTTTAATTAAGTCAAAAGAATAACATGTTTTAAACCCAAAATTGGCTGGAATTTTAAATCTACAACTACAAATTCTAAATTATAATTCCTATTCAGTCTCTTATAATTTAAAATAATTTTCCCTAAAGTTTTCAAACGTGTACCTCCATAAGCTTCTAATATAGTATTACATTTTTCAATTTTGTACTTACTGTTTCTGAATACGACTTTTAAAATATCACTGGGTAATATAGTTACTTCTGATCCAGTGTCCATTTTGAACTCAATGTCTTGGTTATTTATGTTGACTACCTCGATCCACTGATTACGACTTCTACTATTGATTGCCCCAACTTCTTTCACGGTATGCACATGCATGTCATCATCTGTTGAAGAGCCATCAATGTTCTCGTCATGTCTTCTAATTTCTTTTATATATAACTTTTTTAACATTTTGTCTTTTATATCTTTGCTGATTGGACATTTCAGCAAAACACGCATTACTAAAGTGATTTACTGCACCACATTTAAAGCAATTTTGTCCAAACGCTGGGCACTGGGCAGCTACATGTTTACGTTTGCACTTTCTACACAAAAATTTTAACTCACTTTGTGTATTTCCACTGTCTTGTCTATTTTTTACTGCACTTAATTCCAAACTTTCATTGTTTCTTATGGATTCTAACTGCTTTTTTGTTATTTCAGAGTTTCTGCATATCTCTATTGCTGTTTCAAGCGATAACTTTTGAGCATTTAATAATTTTTCTTGAACACATGGACTATTTGTTCCTAAAACTAACCTGTATGTCAATATGCTGTCTTCCTGTTTGTCATATTCACAACTTTGTATCAACTTTTTTAGACCACTAAGATAAATATCAAAAGGTTATTCTGCATCTTGAACTCTTTTATTAAATACAAAACGTTCATATGTTTTATTTCTTCTGGGAGCACAATATTTCTTAAATTCTGATATGACACTATCAAATTTATTCGGTTCTGGTATTTTGAGAATGTTTATATATTTATATATATATATATATATATATATATTATATATATATATATATATATATATATATATAATATCAACTCCTTCTGGTCCAATCATATTTAAAAACAAAGCAATTTTTACTCTATCGTCTTTGTCATCTTTCTCAGTTGCAATAAGATACATTTCAAAATTTTGGTAAAACCGTCTAAAATTTTCATGAAGGTTTTGAATATTTGCTCTTGTGATTATCTCTTTATTATTTAAATTTACAATTATAAGATACATTCATATTATACCTTTCTTGTTGTTTCTAAAACTAACCATAATCCCCAATATATATTGACGTTGACAGCAGTCATTCATCA